AAAATGAAGTTAACAGATTTAGCACTTCAACAATGGTATCACTTTTTAAAGCATTTGTTTGAGGGACACTAGAGGTTCAAGTGAAGTAAGCAACAGCTGTAACCGGCTTTAACACAGTGACCCTCTCCCAAATGATTTTTCTTGCAGGGGTCCCATAAAATCCACCCTCATTTCTATCACAACCATTAGCACAGTGCTAGCAGCATTGAAAAAGCATCCTGCCATCACAGGTCAACTGGGTTTGTTTGCAAATGATTTTATGCCAGTGACCATCCAAGGCATGGAGAGCACAACGTACCAGCAGTCAGGCATTTTTGAAGGGGACACAGTGAAAGGATGAAGGGCAGAGAGAGGATCATGGCAAGTGATGGAGGCAAAAGTTCAATAATCTAGGCCACTGCCCAGACACACTAATTCAAGTTATTCAAAGCTCCCAGGAGTTTCCCTCCTTTGTTTACACTTCCCAGCCCCAGCAAACGAGCTGCTCCTCTCTCTGACCCCTGCGGTGATTATCAGGCCAGACTGAGCCAACACACACAAGGTGGTATCTCTTCACCATCATACTGCCACACCTTTCATTTCTGTCCTACCCAGCCATTCCCTGAGCTGACTTATTTATTTCAGTGCAGGATTCAATGCAGAGGCACCGGTACTGCAGCATACCTGGTAAGGAACGCTGCCCTGCCATATAGGCTCTGCAGCACTGCTCTAACACCTACAGAGGAGAGAGGTTTCCGTTTTCCGTTCCTGCAGCCTCATCAAACTTTTCTGCTGTGAGCACATTACTCAATTCCAAAAAAGTATGACAAAAGCAAGACTGCTGCATGAAGAAAGAGGGGGAGGAAGGAAAGACAGAGATGAGAAAGAAGGTCAAACCACACAAATGTAATTATGCAAAATCCAAAGAGAATGAACTAACTAGTCCCTGAAGCATCCTGGGTGAGAAGCGTAGCCAGGACTGGGTGAGTCTCAGTCATCCATCTAAACCAATGCCTGGTCTCTGAGAGCAGCTACTGTCAGTAATACTGGGCAGACCATTGCCCTGAAGGCAACAGAAACCTCAGCTGTCTAGGTCCACTTACACAAAAGCCAGACTTCTCATTTTATACAATCAAAACTTGGACTATACCCAGAGGCTAAAAAGAAGGGAAAAAATGATAAACAAAAGCTTTTTAGAACCAAATGTTTATTTAAGTGTCAAGTTTTCAATTACTTCTTCCATCTCTGGAAACAGAGGACCTGATTTCCAGAGCTTGATATCAACTGGAAGTGTACATGTCTCCCATCCTAAAAGGTCAGATTTCTTAAACTCCCAAAACAAAGAAGCACTCCAGGCAGTATCATGTGCATCTGGATTCAAGCTATAAAAACTTACGCTCTTTCACATTTTCTTGAGCTCTGCCCCCAGGTTTGTTAAGGAATTCTGAATCATTAGAGACAAGAGTAATTTAAAGTTTTATGTGAAAGCTGAAATTTACTGCTTGGTGCTGGCTCTTGGCATCTAGGGATAAAGTGAAAAGAATTCACAGCACAACAATAAAATGAGAGTGGATGATTACAGACAGGAAGGTGGGGAGACTGAACTATGGTATGTGGTATGATGCAGCATCACTAGTGATGGCATGAATGCGAGGGTGTCACGCCTTGAGGAAAATGAATTCGTTAGGGTTAGAGTTACTCAGCACAATTAAGGAAGTGAATATTTAAGTACCAGGAAAAGCTTAGCTTTGTGAAGAAAAGCGATCAAAGCCATTTCATGGAGCATACAGAGAATACTAGGCAAGTCAGTGGAGGCAGTCAGCATTTTTCTTTCTAATGACGAAGCTGCCTTTGATCCCCAAGCCAAGAGCTGATACATACCACCTTTTCCAGAGTCAGCGGCAATCCTGCCTGTGGCCAGTGATCCCAGGTAAGGTGTGCCTTATGCTGAAGATCTGAACTGAACTGAATTTCAGCAGAAAAATCAATGGCAAGTGCCGAGCTTTTACACACACCATTGAAGGAAGGTATTCCCCCAACTCCACACTCTGTTTCCCTGTGGGTAAGCCAATAGTTCACTCATTCTATAAGCCTGGTGAGAAATCAACATTGCAGATTATTTTTACAAGGTAATCTCGAAAGACTAAAGAAATTTCTTTTATTAATCAGAAGGTATGCTTAACAAAGAGCATGAATTTGCAGCTTGAGCTCAGTCAGAGAGTCCTGTGGGAGACAGTTTCCAAACAGCAAAGAGCAGCCTTCAGGTGCAGTTCACCTCCGCTCTCTCCTTTCTCTATCCTGCAAGCAGCATCCCCTGGTTTGAGATCAGTCCTGCTACAACACTGCAGCCAGGATCCCGCTGTGATGCTGTCCACACCAGAATGCTTTATGCTCAGCCAGGACTACAGGCAGCGGCAGCACAACAGACCGAGGAGCTATAGAGTGATGCTTTTGTCACCCCAACTACAATAAGCAGTACTGAAATAAGAGTTATACTCCCTTTATCCATGCTATAAGCCCATCCCTAGCCTCCACAACCTTTAACAAGCAATGCTAACATTAGATAGAGAGTTTTGGCAAAGGATGAAATCTAGGAATTTTTTAAGATCAAGTTACACACTTTGACTGTAGGCTCAGCTGAGGCCAACTTACACATGTTTTAAGTCACCCAGCTCTGTGTTTTAAGGATTAATAATTTGAAGTTTGCAGAGGCATCATATATTTGCCCAAGTGAAAAAGGGCTATCACACTTTATATGTCAGCAATAATTCTGCTTGCAAAGTTCCCGTAAGGTTTTAACCAATTTAGTGGGGGAAGCATAGACAAGAGCAATCTCAGGACACGCTTATTACAAACACAAGATCCCAAGTGGATTTTCATAGGCTAGACCTGCATGCATGCATATCTGATCCAAAGTTGGCACACTTCACTTGATCTTAAACAAAAATATCGCATTGCGAAATCACTATCTGGTGGCCATTGCATTAGGGGAGAGAAAAACTCAAAAATCTCAGTTCTCTAAACTCAGAGATTTCAGAGGCAGCACTGGAACCACTGCATATAGAAACCACAACGTGAGCGCAGGATCGACACCAGAGGAAAAACCCTATCTCCAAGCAGAAACCAAGTAATCCTAATCCAATTTATATTATATCCAAATCCTAATCTATATAAAGCAAACAAGTGCATTTATTATAAAACAAGATAACTTGTCTGAGCAGTAAGGCAAGCTAATCTGTCTTTCAGTTGTTGGCAATCATGCTGTGCTTTCTGACCTTTGCCTGCAGAAAGCCAAACTTGTTTCCTACTTCTGAAACGTTCTTGCTGTCAATAACTGTTTAATTTGTAACACAGATCTAGCCCAAGGGCGGGGAGGAAATATGTTGATGTAGACTTGACCTCTTGTGATGGCAATGACAGAAGATGTAATAAACCCAAAATTCCCAGAAAAGACTCAATTACCAACAAACCCCATCAGCTCCTCTCTCACAGCAAGATGGGAAAGCAGTTCACCTTTTCTACAGTTTTAAGCTTGTTCTTTGGTGAATGTCTTACCTTCTCTCTGACTGTCTGAAACAAAAGTGTGTTCCTCATCATGAGGAGGAAAAGGCGCAAGATACTCGCTGTGTATATTTACATCAGCATTGTATTACTAACACAGGCATACACAGACAAACAGAGATGACATACATTTTCCCTACTTTTGGCATGCATCATTTACACTATGCAGCACCAGAGTAGTTAACTTTGAGCAAGAGGAAAAGCATATTGGGGGCAGAATACTGACAGAAATACTGTTCTGGATGACCTGTTGAACCCTCTTGCTTCCCTTAATCCCCAAAAGGAGGCTTTCCTGTCTCTCGCTTCCCAGCTCCATGCTACTGCTACGATAAACGCCACATTCCAGCACAATATTTTTTTTTCATCATCACATAAATTTATAGCTTAATGGCTTCAGGGCAGGAAGTCTTCATTTTGTGCCAAAAGAAAGCACATGTAAGCCTAGTTAGCTTGCATAACAGCAAATTTACTGTTCTCAAATGCACAACAGACAGGCCTTCTACAACCTAAGAAAAGGCATGGAGTGACCTTGACCACCACACTTACTAGTGGAGTCAAGTTTCAGCAAAGAAATCAGAAAAATGCTTCAATCCTCCATCACAGATCTACTCTCTGCTGAGAACAAAAACTCATCTAGTTTTCAGCTGAGGCAAATCTCACGCATTCAAGGAAAAGAGATTCCTTCAGTCTGCATTCACTTAGATTGAGGTTTGCAAAGTGTCATCCTTCTTCATAAAGGGTCATTTGGTTGAAAGCACATATCAATGTGGCTAGCAAAAAAAAATAAAATAATTTTTCATGGAACTGGAATATTTCTGGTTCTTAGTCTTCAAATTCTACCACGAAAACAGAAGACAAGTCCAGCTGATCCTACCACATCCACACTCAGGCACCAATGCTACAATGCCAAACTCCAGTCAGTCATCTACACACGCACTGGTTGCCACAGACACCAACCCCCCAGATCTCATGGCATGAAAGTAAGCGCAAGGGTTCCAAATATGTCCCAGCATTTAAGCAATGCAAAGGAAAACAAACACATAAAACTTTATATCAACTGAACCATGGATGTTTTTATTATGCAGAAAGGACTAATAACACTGCCCGAGTTCTGCAATTCAAATGGAAAAGCCAAGCATGGCTGCTCCTACTGCCACACATTCCATAATTCAAGAGCATTCACAAATAATTAAAAAAAAAATTAAATAAATCCATGCCTATTCACTGAGACCTGACAATTTTTGACTCCCCTCTTAGAACACCTATTGCCTAAAGGGGAGAAGCCGCAGCAATCTTCCAGCACACCAATAAATCCAGCCTCAATGCACCACTCTCCCCCCATCCCCCTGCCACATGAATACATCACTTGCTTGTGCTTCAGCTTTTTCTTTGTTTAATTTTTGTTTCCTACACTTTCCCAACTAACCAGAGAGGTGCAGCTGTTCCAGCCTCTCTGAAAAAAACACAAGCAGGAAGGCAGCCCTCCTGCCTACACTCCCGAGCAAAACTTGCACCTGGCAATGTCAAGGTCATGGTTATTTTTCTCTGACCATCAAGTTTCCAAACTGTTTCAACAAACCACGGAGAGGTTTGCACCTGGCAAGACCTCATCCACACACCCCAAATTACAAGCCACCCCCGACTCCAACGCATCCAGCGGTGGACACCCCACAGGAACACGGGTGACACCAGACCCTCCCCGCCTCTGCAGCGTTTCTGACCCCACCACCTTTAACCTCCGCTGAGGAAACCCTGACCACGCATGGCTGCTTTCAGTCTGCTACAGAAGTCAAGCGTCCCATGGCATGGGAACACCCAAAAAATTCAAATCTGGGCCTAGCGCTAGCAGGACAGCCCCTTTTTTTCTTTTTTTTTTTTTTTTTTGCATATGTTTTCTCCCAAATCCCCCAAGGGTGATTTAATGCTGACACCGTTTCCTCCCAGGTCTGGGATTCCCCGAACTCCCCGAAGCGACTCAATAAAAGCAATAAAAGTTTCACGGGGGCGTACAAAACGGGGAAGTTCGCTGGCGAGTATGACCTAACGCATCCAAAATAACCCCAAACCCCAACCCACAACGCCAGGGACGCACCCCAGACGAGCGCTGGCACCCACAAGCGGCTGAAACGCCTCCTCCAGCACTGGACGGTGACAATGTGGCAGTGCAGCTGGAAAACCAGGGTGCACGGCGGGGCCAGGGGGGCAGCGCTGATCCAGACTCGGCAAATACACACATATATATACACACACACACGCGTGTATAAATATATACATATATAAATAAAAGAAGATGAGGGCACCCGTCCCGCCAGGGAAGCCCGCCCCGCGCAGAGGCTGAGGACGGGCAGCAACTCACC